GGAAAAGAGAAATGCCAAGGGCTCTACAGGAGCACAGAGAAGGGGGAAACAGTCCCCTCTCCCTCACAACCCCAGCATTACTGTTTTTATCTGCTGGGGCAGGTTTTGATCTGACTCTGTGTGCCTCTAGATAGGGCAAGTGAAGGAGAAGGGCTGCTGAGGGCTAAGAGAGCTGAACTGCTGGCCAGTCTTAAAGTTCACCTCTCCTCCGCCCCCCGACCCCATGGCTAAACCGGAAATGATGCCCAAGCCCCAGTGTCAGCCCCTCCTCTCAAGCTGGCCCAAATACGAATTGCAATAACAAAGAGGAGAGTTTGACAGAAAGTATAGATGAAGTCACCTTCAGAAAACTTTCCCCTTTGTATTAACCTATAACATAAAATCCAAGGAAGCAGAACGCGCCTCCTTCGGCAATCCTGCTTTAAGCTTTGTAAATAACAAGTAACCTGGACTCTCTAGCCCTTGCTCACTGTCCTGTCTCTGACTCATTTGTAACGTTAACAAAGGAAAATGCCAGTTTGATTCCTTGGCCTCCACTTGTTTATAAGAAAGTCATAAGACCTCATCCATCAATCATTAACCCACCACCGGCTAGCCTCCTTTCCTTCTGGGCAGGATCCTGGTCTTTATGACCATGCCTCTCCACTTGACCGGCAGGAAAACAGGTAGAATTGGCAGAATGTGGCCTCCTGCAGGGAGGCCAGAACCCAGCCAGCTGGACTCTGTGGGAACTCCATACTACCAATAGGCTGAACCCCCCCTCCCTGCCCCCCAACGTCTATGAGAAGCTATATGTTTTTTAATCAACTTTGGAAGTAAACTGCAGGAGCTATGAAGTATATATTAAACATATTTTTTAAATGTGGCTTCCACATCCCAACAACATCCTGAGGATGTGTGGATTCAAGGTGGATTTAGAGGGGGCCCAAAGCTGCCTTTCCCTCTGAATGGGGTCCTGTGGCTTAGCCATGTTTTGGGTGGCTCTAGGCACAGGCCCATGGCTGATGGCCCTCAGGGAAAGGTAGGTACCAGCCCGCTGAAAGGGGGACCTTTCTAACAGACCGAGGAGTGTACATGAGCAGATGATGCCGCATGATTCTCAGCCTAGTAGTAGGGTGATGCCCGGCTTGGGAAAGGGGAAGCCAGATGAATCCTAGGTTCTTTCTGAGTTTATACATCACATGCCTATAAAATATATAAGCTCTCTGCTGCAGCGAGGCCTCTGCACTTGCTGTGCCCTGTCTCTGGAATGCCATTTCGCTCATGGTTGGCTCAGTCCCATTCCTTAAATCTCAGTTTTACTGGCACCTCCTCTGAGAAGCCTTCCTGTAGCACCTGGTCCACAGTGATCCCTCCGTGTTCTCGAGCCTCTTCCTTGCTTATCTCCTTCATAGCACTGATTGCAGACTGGAATTTTTTTTATTTATGTATTGGTTTGCGTCTTTGCAATTTATTGTCTGTCTCTTCCACTGGAATGTAGGCTCCACGAGGACAGAGACCAGATCTGTTTTGTTCCCTAGCACATCTTCGGCGCCTAATACAGTGTCTGGCACATGGTAGGCGCATTTGTTGAAGAAATGAGTGAATTAACATCCAAATTAAGCAGCATTCCAAGGAAGAGTATTTAGTCAACACTTGAATACGCATTTCATTAAATGTGTATTCAAATTTGATACTCAATCTGTGATCACTTCCATTTAAATATAAATGCCAGGACGTGGTCCATTTTTATTATATACTCAGATCCCCTTAGAAAACAAACTTTGGGGGACTGAGCAAAAGCTTTTATTGGACTGAAACTTTGACTATTGATCGAAGAAAAAGGTGTGTCAACATCCAGAATATGTCAACCTTGCCATGAGAGTTTTATCTGCTGGGGCAGGTTTTGATCTGACCTTGTGTTTTGGTAGCTGCTCCAAAGAGACATGGCCTGGAGCCCAGAGAGCTGTCTGCACAGAGATTCACATGGACACGGGCAGGAGGCTCCCTGGGAGAATATGACCACCAAGAGATGTCAGGGGCAGCAGTGGATCTGAGGGACTGACTTAGCAAGGACCAAAAAGACAAACCTCAAAATAGGATAACCACGAATGCACTTTCCTGTGTGTGTCCAGACTCATCAGATATAGTCCAAGTTACAAACAATATTTTTATTAAAATGTGTATTATTCTTGAGCACATAAGATGTACAGTCAGTGAGAAAGAGTAACCAGTGAGAAACTAGCAGTTATTCTGTAGTTCTTGTCTTCTAAGGAGCTCTGGGTGCTTTTATTATTACAATGTATGTACTAGGTGTATAAGAAATTACTCAACCCATAAAGTTTTTTACCTACCCCATACCAGGTCTGCAAACAGGTTATAAAATAATAAAATGATCCCGCATTTACTTGCATAAATGGTTATTTGCCTGAGGCAGCAATAAGTCTGTACCTATATATGTACAGAGTAAACACACTCTGTTCACTCTGAAATCGGGGCACTTAGAGAGAAAGCTAGGAGCCATATTAACCAGTATGTACAGATGTGCCTTATCTGGACCCTGATTCCAATAAACCATTCAGTGAGTTTATGAGACTACTGGGGAAACCAGAACACTCACTGGATATTTGATGACATTAAGAAATTACTGCCAACAGTTCTTAGATGTGAAAATAGTATTGTGGTTATTTTTAAAGACCCCCTTATCTTTAGATAAGCATCCATAGATTTTCTTCAAAGTAATCCCGTGGAGGAGGGCAGACAAAACTAAACTAATTGTGGCTAGAGAGATGGGTACATGGGGTCACTATACGATACTCTTTACTTTTTTAATTTTTAATTTATTTTTTAATTTTTTTAGAGAGAGGGGAGGTGGGGTAGAGGAAGAGGGAGAAAGAGAATCTTAAGTAGGCTCCACGCTGGGCGTGGGCTCGATGGGGCTCGATCTTACCACCCTGAGATCATGACCTGAGCCGAAATCAAGAGTCAGACGCTTAACCGACTGAGCCACCCAGATGCCCCGATACTCTTTACTTCTGTACCTACTTTGAAATTTTCTGTAATTAAATTTTAAAACAAGACACAAAATGTACTGGAGTGCCTGGGTGGTTTAGTTTGTTAAGCATCTGCCTTCAGCTCAGGTCATGGTCTCAGGGTCCTGGGATCAAGCCCCACGTTGGGCTCCTTGCTCAGCGGGGAGTCTGCTTCTCCCTCTCCCTCTGCCCCTCCCCACTGTTAGTGCTCTATCTCTCTCAAATAAATAAATAAAATCTTTTTTTAAAAAAACCCCACAAGATGTAGTAAGAAAGTAGTGATATATAAGTTCATTAAAAAAAAAAAATCACACTGACTTTTTTAGGCTCATTGGTGCACTTTGGTGGCATACATTGTGGAATGCGGAAAACCAGACGGCTTGTCTTCCCATAGCCAGTCCTCTCTGATCAGCTTTGCAGTCCTGCTGAGTTCCCAGATTTCTGACTGGGTTTTTACTTCATGGGCTTCATTTCCAGGCAGGCTTCAGTGTTCTTGATCCACATGATGAACATTTATCGAGTGCCTCCTTCAGCCCGGAGTGAATTTCTACCTCCGCTGGCTGGACCCTCCGCAGCCCACTGTCTTCTCAGGGCCACGCTCCATCCGTAGACTCCTCTTTCTCCTGGATCCAACCGTCCTTCTCTCCTCCCCTTTCCCTTCTGTATGGAAGTGTGCTTAAGTCTCCCCATTAAGAACAAAACCCTTCTTGTTACCCTCACCTTCCTATAACCATGTGCGTACACACACACACACGCTCTTCTCTCACCCCTTTATGGCTAGATTTCTGAAACGAGCTTAAGAAACGCTCCAAATCAATTTCTTAAGTGTTTCGTAAGGGCCGCTGTGTCAGACATGCGGGAGGGATGTGACACAAAGCTGTAGTCTTCAAAAGGACTTTGAAATCGGCAGACAGAGTTCTAGTCTGGAGCAGGTTGAGGTGCTGGCTTGGAGACAGCAATCACGCACGAGACTCAAACAGGCATTCCCATCACTGTACCACCATGCGAACCCCCAGCAGGCCGGGGGTTGGGCGCAGGAAGAAAGCACTGGACTAGCTTTGGCAGGACTTGAGCTGGACTTTGAAGCGTGGACAAGATTTGGAAAGGTGAGGGGAAAGAGGGAGGCATTTTAAGCACATTTTTAGCATAAGAACGTCTGTGAAGTTCGAGTTCATAACTTGTTCTGAGGATGGGGATGCCGGCCCGACCATGGGGGCTGACCGGGAAGGGTCTGAGGGCCACTGAAGGCCTTGGCAGGCTGAGGTGTTTCGGCTGAGCCGTGAAAGATGGCTACGCTCTGCTCTGCTTTGTTGGGTGGGGCGGGCACGCTCTGGAGACAGGGAGGGGCTATGTCTGGTTAAACTTGGTCACAAGAAAGGAGGCTGGCAGCCAACAGGAAAGGCTGAGGCAGGGACCCTGCAGGAAGCCTGTGCAGTGTGACATGATGAGGGCTAGTCCTGGGGTGGTAGAGGTGGTGGTGGTAACAGAAACGTGCGACTCCATGACCGACTGAGGGCAAAGGATGGACAGAGCCAACCTGGCTCTGGGATTTTGAGCCTTGGAAGAAGTGGGGCCAGTGGTTCTCTGATGAGGCATCACACCATCAAATTGAGATCTAGGCCAGAATACATCAACTAACTGCAATATATGGACCTGACTTGAATCCTGAAGCTTACAAATAAACCATTACAAAGTGATGAGATAATTAGAAAACTGAATTCTTATGAGATTTGATAAGGAATTAAATGTTAACTTTTTAAGTGTGGTAATGATATCGTGGCCCTTATGTTTTAGAGGCACATACTGAAGTATGTACAGATGAAAATGATTTGGGTTTCTTTCAGAATTATCCAGGGATAGGGGAGAGTGGGTGCGGTACAGATGAGGCTGATTTGTTTTTGCCAATGGTTAATTGTCGAAGCTGGGGGACATGGAGGTTCATTTTGCTCTTCTCTCTGCTGTTGTATGTATTTGAAATTTTCCATGACAAAAATTCTGGTCCTTGGGTAATGCAGATCTTGTTCCCTGGGCCTCATAACTCCCAATCAGAAATCACAAGAGGCATTTTGAGCTGTGCCATGTTAATCTCCTGTCACATTTCAGAACAGAAAAACATGAGCTGGAAAGAAATAATGCTTTGACTTTGTTTGGAAAAACAAACTGGGAGATACACATGATCTCCTTTATCAGGATCATGTGAGGAATCCAATTAACTGGAAAGGCAAAGTCAAAACTGAGAAAAGTGGAGTTTTTATGGTAGCTGGAAATAAACGCCTCTTTTGGAAGAGTTAGTCCCAAGTGAGGTTTCCTGGCACCAGGGCGCTTGGCATGAATGTGGAAGCTGAGACCAAGTTGAAAAGCCACAGTCTGGGCTGCCTGCAAAAGGCCAGCATTACTTCAGCGACAAGTCACACATCCCCCAGGCGGAGGCCAGGGGTGGGGGGTCAAAAGGGGTCTACTGACAACACCCCAATACTGGTTCCCTGGTGCCCACCCACACGGCACCGCACACCCCTCGCACTCACAAGCCACGAAGGTGGGAGGCTGCTCTGCCAAGGTCCCCAGCCGTGCAGGAAGGGGACACTGGCCATCCCGTGCTGGTGGGGGATCCTATGAACTGCTGTGAAGCCCCGTACTTGGCAGGCCATCTCCCAGGCCACAGCGCAGCAAAGCAGATTTCTTTCTCACTGAGTGCTCCCAAACAGAACACATCCTCATGCAGGTAAACTAGGAAGCTAGAAAGGTAAATTTTGAACCTGAGTAAGTGACCTAATTTTTCTTTTCTTTTTTGATGGGAAAAAAATGATACAGGGTGGTAGGGAAGCTAGGGGGATTAATAGAGGGGCATGCTTCCCTGGAGAGGACAAGCACAAAATTAGCATCAGAATGCAGCTCCGCAAACAGGTGAGGGCCTGCTCTGTGCCAGGCATTATGGGAGAGGCAGGGACGAACGTGACATGGCCCTTGCCTTCCTGAAGAGCACGGGAGAGGGAGGAAACAGGCATGCCCCAAATCTCCTGGATAAATACTAAAACAGGAGGGCATGGAGGTTCTGTGACCCAGGCAAGATAACTCTGTAACTAAGCCAAGGTCTAATTAGGGCAAATCATTTAATCTCAATTCTTCATCTATAACATGGTACAGTTTTTGCCTTGCTGATCCTATAGAGTTGTAAGGATCAAAACTACTACAAATAATAATAATAAAGCAGGAGTAGAAAACGCTTTTTAGACCCTGTTGCCCCTAAGGGGCTGTGGCTGGTGCTCAAAGACAGGCGGGGATGGCAGCTCACTCCGCGGCAGGTACCTGAGGCCGGGGGCTCGCCCTCCCCGGGAGCAGCAGTGCCCTGCGTTCTCAGTCCCACAGTCGCTTCCCACCAGGCACCTTGTCACACACCCGGGAGCTAGCTGCTTGGCATGAGCGGCTCTCTCCAACCCGTTCAAACTTGCCTGATACAGAGGGTAGAGGCGCTTAGTCCTAGTAATGTCCATGCATCTCGGAGCTGAGAGCCAGAACGGAACTTCCAGAACACAGTGTTCAAATCTCTCATTTGTATGAAGGGTAAAGGAGACTCAGGCAGGGAATGTGACTTGCTCAGGGTCCACTCACTGAGGTGGTGGGACAGCTGGCACTGAAATCTTGTTTTCTGGACTCTTCTCATCCAACATAGCCGCTTCTCTTTCCGAAGAAGCTTTTGCCAACACCGACTCTGTTGCCTTTTATATCCCTAGCCTTTCTTGCCCCCAAATACCTAATCCAGTGTCAGTTCCAATAAAGAGTATCTAGGGCACAATGAAAAAGAAAAATTCCTCCTGATGACCTTTCCCAAGCTCTCTGTTCTTTGGGGTCTTTTATTCTTGGGGAAACTGTTTACCAAAGGCCTGTTATGTGTGTGACCCTAATCACCACATGAGTTCACAGTGGTCACAGTGAGGTGCTCCTGTCCCCAGGGAGTTCTTAGTTTAGTTAGCACTAGAATGCCCTCTTCATGGAACCTTTTGGAACCTCTGTTTTGGGAAGAGAAAGTCCTTCTAACCCAGTTCCCTTTAGTCATGTGTCCAAGGAGAAATCATCATCTCATTGCTGTACCTCTTCACTCACGGGGTTTTTCCTTTTGTGCCTGGCCGGCAGCTTCTGCCACCCTGGCCGTGGGTCCAAACGTCATTGGGAGCAACAAAAAGGCTGGCAGCCTCACTGTAGAAGGCTTGCCACCCCAGAGCTGTGCCTCTTCTTGACCTGAGGGTTTGCATACTACCTCACGATTGCGCCATCTCTGCTTCCTGCTGTCCCTAAGGAATTTGGTTTTGTCCTCCGCTGAGTAATGGTCTTATCTTGGTGTCCTCTAGCCACCCTCTCCCTCTGCCATCTTGGTGGGCTTGAGTTGCTTTGAGTCCAGGGCTCTGAGATCTTGAAAATTAAAATATAGCTCAGTGAAGACTCTAACATGCGCAAGTGAGAAAAACTGGTGTCCATTGAAAGGTTGGACAGGAAATTTTGAAATCCCTTCAAGCTCTAACATTTCCAAGAAGGTATATCCAAAGGTTGACAGCCTGAAAAATTAGTAGGGTTCTACCGTGTATGTCCAGACCTTGGATCAACTCCTCATAGCAAGTTTTTCTTCCGACTCTCCTTACTCTCAGATGAAGTCGCCTGGTTAGAGAACAAGGGGTAGGGAGCCGGGATTCTGTGAGGCCAGTGTACACACGTCCACTCTTGTGAAATAGTGCTGTTGTCTATGGACAGGTTCCCGGAAGAAGTGGTGTTCCTTTCCCTTCCCCTCTGCTCCAATTACTTTCATTCCTCGTGCTGAAATACTGATGAATGGACCCCAGATGGCAAAGCTTGGGTCCCAACTCACAGAGAGCCCACAGAGCACCATGGTTCCACCCTAACGAGCCATGACATGCCAATTACTTGCTTTTCTGGGGAAACCTCCGCCTGAAAATCCATTTAATTACCACAGGGAGATAATCTTTTAAACACAGCTTTACATTCTTTAAAGATTTTTTTTTTTTTTTTCCTGTGGGAGTAAGAAAGTTTATCTGAACATGGGATTGGAGGGTTTATTGCCATTTCCAGAGGAAGGACAATTACCCGGTAGTTAGCAAGAAGCCTGAGCCCTGGAGGATTTATTTTTTAAGTCTCTTCCTGCTCACTGGTAGTTTGGCATTAGTTTGTAGTATTGTCACACTCTCCCAGTATAAACTTTGCACTGAGCTCTGTGATTCCAGGCATATAATTACTTGATATTTTTCAAGCATCCTTATCAGATTGGGTTTTATATTTGCTCTAGATGTGGGTATCAAGAGTCAGTGTCCCCAAGGGTTTCCTATTAGGAAGGTCATACCTCCACCAGCCCCAAAGACCTATCTGGAGCTGTGGTCAGTCCCACACCAATTTTTCCAGCCTGAAGTATCCCAAAGGATGCAAGTTTGGGCAAGCAGGGGCCCTGTTGTTGTGTTCAACCCGGCGGACCCGAGACCCTGAGTAATTCCTGCTCATAATAGGTGCTCCATAAACCGATGCAAAATTGCTGAAAATCAGTAGGTCTTCACGTGGAGAGGATGTGTACTGCGTCAAAATATAGACAATGTAAAATTCAAACGGAGCTTGGTGGGCCTCAGTCCTTGGCATGGGGCTGCTTTAGTCCTTCGTTCCCCACATCACTTTAAGAGCAAGCGAGCGGTAGGCTGAGATCTCTGGGTCTTGAAAAATATCCCTGTGGGGACGAAGAGGAGGAAAGGAGTGACTGTATTGAACACAGGATTAGAGAGTGAGGAAAGAACGTTTGTGGAAAACTGACTAAACTTTGGGCTTGAATCTCCTCTTCCAGGTCCCGATGGGGAGAAGAGCTGGTCCAAGAAGTACCCATCATGTGGGGGTGTGCTGCAGTCCCCAATAGACCTGCACAGTGACATCCTCCAGTACGACGCCAGCCTTGTGCCCCTGGGGTTCCAAGGCTACAATGTTTCTGCCAACGAGCAGTTTATCCTGATCAACGATGGCCATTCAGGTGAGAGAGATACCTCTAAGGTCTGCAAGGGGATGTCTGAGCATCCCTCAGCTCCTTGGCCTGCTCTCTTCCATCTGGCAGGGAGGGGCCCCCAGTGAAATACCCAGAAGGGGCAGGGGCAGGGCGTGGGGGAGAGCCCAGGGATGCCTGGACCACTCATTCAGGGGATGCTGGAGGCAGCTCTGCCGGGCAGCACCTCTCAGAAGAAGCACATCTCTTGGGAAGGGGGAGGGTACATCTGAGCCCGTTGGCCTCTTGACTCAAATATTCCAGGAGCCACGTGATTCATTGTGGGGTCCCCCAGGCTTTGGAGTCAGACAAACCTGGACCTGAATCCTGGCTTGACTCCTTAGGAGTCATGACACTCTGGGTAAGAATATTAACCTCCTTGAGCTTTTGTCTGGAAAATGGGCATATTGATGGGTACCGTGAAGACTAGAGATTACGTATGTTGGGATCTGTAATACAGTAGATGCTTCATAAATAGTAATTTTTATTGTTATTGTTATATTATTCTACAGCTTGGCGGATACTTCATTAACAGTTCTATCTTCCTAGCTGGGTGTGTAACACATGGGGATGTAAACCAAACAACCACCCGTTGGTCTAGTATTCGTGCTCCTGCTGTCCTTTTCCCAGGGGAGCCGAGAAGGTGCTGGTGCTGCTAGAATTGCTTTAGGGAAATGGGGCCGTTCTCAGAAGAGCCCAGGTTTCTGACCCTCAGGCTGTGGTGTCTCTCTGCTTGCTGTATCCACCTGCCTCCTGTCTGGGCCCGGGCAGGTGTTGCCTCCCTAACTGCTCTCAGGCAGTGCTCAGCAGGCCAGGGCTCTGAAGGCTCCACTCCCCACAGTGAGGCTGAACCTGACCCCGGACATGCACCTCCAGGGCCTCCGGTCCCGCTACACCGCCACACAGCTGCACCTGCACTGGGGGAACCAGAATGACCCGCACGGCTCCGAGCACACCGTCGGAGGGAAGCACTTTGCCGCGGAGGTGAGTGGGGCCGCAGGGCTGGCAGAGGCTGCCTGGCGGTGGGTGGTCTGGCACCCTTCCACCTGGCTGGTGGACAAGTAAGATCGGAGCACGAGCAAGAGCTGCCTTCAGTCTTCCCACTCCCACCCCTGGCGCTAGGTAGAGCCACTCCAGCCAGCCTGCAGCTCGTCTGCGGTGTCCTGGTCCCCTTCCTCTCCTGAACATGCGGAGTTTGTCTCTCTGTCATTTACTGAACGATGCTGCTCAGAAGGCAGTGCTCCCGGGGAGGGGAGGGGGCAGAGGGATGCACATGCCCCTTTTCTAGACCTCACCCCTCTGCTTGCACAGATCAAGATCCCACCAGCTTGTCCGGCCGACGCAGGTCATCCCCGGCACATAATAACATCTTGACTACGGCATCTATGTACCCCAATACAACGGAGCCAGCCACCTATGGCCAAAGGCCAAAACCTATTAGAAGTGTGAGGTATAGCAGTCAATGGAAAAACAGAGGATAACCCTGGCTATAAGGGTTTGATCAGTGTTATAGAGCTTAGAGATCTCAAGATATCATCAATTGGGGCAGCTTCTTACCCTAGACTTGAGTTGGGATCTGAGGATCTGAGGATGTGCTTCAGGAAGCCCATTCTATATAATATTTTGTGTGTATCCCACTGCTGAATCATACTGGGCTAATTGCTCCCCCAAACTTCTCAGTCTTTCTTCACATGCTTGGAACCTTAGGACCCAGGGTTACTCTTCTACTTGGCCACAAGCCTAGGGATGACTGGCATTCCAATACACAGGACATCAGGGCAGTGAGAGACTCGTTGAGGACAGTTTGGGATGTTAGCACAGCACTGTGTTATGTCGCTCTGAGGCACTAACCGAAAAGGCCACAAGAAACCAGGAGGAAGTGGAGCATTGTGCCTGCCCCACAGGTGTGCAGGGGGGACATGGGGGTGCTCGAGTTGCTCCATTTCAGAACTCCCATGGGATAGAACTTGGGGGTGTGGTTCTGAACATTTACAGGGCAATAAATACAAGGAGGTAAATGCTACTGATCAGCCAGGTAAATAATGACATGACCATTCTCCTCTCTTCTTAACTGCTAAACTGCTTAATGTCTCAGGCTAATTACAGGTCAAGTTACAAGTGCGGAGGGGCTATAATTCTGGCCCAATAGGATGGCAGTCTTGGAGGTGCACGTACTTCAAACCAGGCCCATCTCTGAACCTCCAGGACTGCAATTTCTCTCAGGCTAATTGCAATGTGGAGGCTTCTACTTACCCATGGGGAATAAAGAAGGAGCTAGGGTGTAGGCTGGGAGAGTTTGAGCATTGGAAAATATTTCTAGTTATTCTGTTTTCTGCTCTTAAGCCACATTGTCACCAAGGGCCTGGTGAAGATGGAGCATACATGTCTATAATAGTGAAAATATATCAAGGTGACCCAAAAGTGGCAGATTCTCTATGGAGGGTCCTTGAAAGTGTAGCAGTTCTTCTGAATTGAGTCCTATAAAGAAGACTCTCTTAAACTCAGCAGGGAATTCTCCTCTGTCTGTATGTCTTCACCTCCTCTTGATTTAATCTGAACACAGTAAGAAAAGTGGTGAAACAGACCACGAGCTCAAAGGGCAGCTCTAACAAGAACTAAGGATCTAGGACCTTCAGGGGTTTCACCTTATAGAAGTCTCCATTTCTCAAAGCTGGGCCACGGTAACACAGTATAGGGCAATATCCTATATCCTATATCCAACAGGCTATATCCTTCACACAGAAAGATGGTGAAATAGGAACTCCTAAGAAATCTTTAATAGAGGACTACTTAAAAGAAGAAATAATTTTGTATAGTTTTTAAAAATTAGAAAGGGTCACTTGAAATGTGAGGAATACTGAGCTGTATTCAGTAAAATATGCTTGAATTCTATTTACAACCACGTAAGACAGAAAAAGAGATGAAGAAAAGGAAGAGAGAAAATCTCAATGTGTTATAGTCCCAAGAGAAAAAGAATCAACAAAAATGTGTATCATGTATATAGACCTAGCTACTAAAATAAGTTGTTTTTTTTTTTAAAGATTTTATTTATTTATTGGACAGAGAGAGACAGCGAGAGCAGAAACACAAGCAGGGGGAGTGGGAGAGGGAGAAGCAGGCTTCCTGCTGAGCAGGGAGCCTGATGTGGGACTCGATCCCAGGACCCTGGGATCATGACCTGAGCCGAAGGCAGACGCTTAACGACTGAGCCACCCAGGTGCCCGCTACTAAAATAAGTTTTTGGAGGACAGGTGACACCATCTTTTGGATTAAAAATTAGGTTAAACATTGTCAGAATTTGATTTTGTCATAACAATGTCTTAATACTCAGACTTTTTAAATCCAAGATTTCTCAGCAAGTTCTCTTTTCCTCACTTTAATAATGACAAGTAATTCCTGCTTTGAAAAAAAATGAGCTTAGAATTTTATTTTGTAAAGGTAAGAATCTACATTCAGGGAGTAACATTCTTGTTTTCTGCTATCTTAAAATATGGCTGATTAAATCTGTACAAGAGCCATGCTGTAATTTTTTTCCACCTGAGGGATAAATATGTGTCCTACTGGGGATACAGTCGCAATTAAGTTACCACTGGAGGTTTCCTGCCTCAGCCCCTACTACTTCAGATCAAATGCAGAGTGGCCAGGCTGAGGCTGGACAAGCTACAATGAGGCCATTTTCCCCTAGGCTCCAGAATAAGTAGACAAAATCAGAGCAGGGCGCCTGGGTGGCTCAGTCAGTTGAAGTCTGACTCTTGATTTTGGCTCAGGTCATGACCTCAGGGTCGTGAGATTGAGCCTTGCATCTGGCTCTGCGCTGGGCGTGGAGCCTGCTTAAGATTCTCTCTTTCCCTCTCCCTTTGCCCCTCCCCCCCATCTTTCTCTGGCTCTAAAAAAAAAAGAGAGAGAGAGAGAGAGAAAAAAGAAACAAAGGAAGGAAGGAAGGGAGGAAGAAGGAAGGAAGGAAGAATCAGAAGAGAAAAGAAAGAATCAGAAGAGAAAGAGAAAGAAAGAAAGAAAGAAAGAGAGAGAGAGAGAGAGAGAGAGAAAGAAAGAAAGAAAGAAAAAGAAAAAGAAGAAAAAATCAGAAGAGAAAAGTGCTCCAAAGTACCCAAGCTTTTTTTGTAGCTAGTATAAGAACCCATTCATTCATTCCTTCATTCAATATCTATTGTATACCTGGTTCCTTCCAAGCACCATATCAGACACGAATACAACGAGTGAGTAAGATGGACAGTCTGCCCTGGTCGAGTTTTCGGTCTGGAGGAATGAGGGAGAAGGGAAAGCTGGGGAGGCCATGAAGGAAAGGGTCTGAGAGGCCTAATCTACCTGGGGTGGGGGTAGAGGGGTTCTGTCCTCCCCACCGGCTTTGAGTCTCCTGCGAAAGCCAAGGGTTCCCATGAGTCGTCCATCTCCTGTGAGCGGCTTTTCTCCCACTGCAGCTGCATATCGTCCACTATAACTCGGACCTGTACCCCAACGCCAGCTCCGCCAGTAACAAGTCAGAGGGCCTTGCCGTCCTAGCTATTCTCATAGAGGTAAGAGATGGTTAGAGGGGTTTTAAAAAATTGGAAGCCAGGATGGTATCAGACTCGGCATTTGGTCCATGAGTACCTGTCTGTTGGATGTTGTGGGGCTCGCTGTCATTTTGGCTGTGTCCTGCCTCTAGAGATTGAGGTATTCCCCCATAGGGTACCTTCTCTTTTGGCCTGGAGGCAGCACTTAGCTGGGTAGCAGAAATGGGCATGTCCTTTGGAACACTGGAAAAAATGAGCCCCAGTTGCACAAAGCTCAGAATAGCCCAGCTGGATAGGACTTGTCTAAAGGGAGTTGGGGGATGGCGATCATTCAGTGCTGCCTCAATCCCTTACACAACTCCTGATATCCAAGTTCCATTCTTTCCTTAATTCCCAGAAAATGGGAATGTTTCCTGATTTGCTTGCATGTTTTTCCCTAATAAGACAACATGTACCTCGTTTCTCATCAACATGCTTACTTGCCTGACTTGGCTTGCGTGAACTCAAGCTCCCTTAAGTTCTGGTTAAAGAACACGCTAGTTGTGGCTTTCAGGCTCACAGCCTGATAATCAGGAGCACAAGCTCTATTCCTTGCCCTGGAACATGCAGGCCCCAGTGCCTTGATTGCTCAGCACCTTGCATCCTGAGATGCAAGAGGACAGGACCATCACCCCAAATCCCTAACAGCCCAGGGGTCTTTCACAATTGTCCTGGTAAAGTGCATCCTCCAGGGAGGATCTTGGCAATGGCAGCTGTATACCCCTAGATGAGCCCTTCTGTGAGCAAAGGTCAAACAAGGCTCAGCTGACAGAATTCCGTCCCAGTTCAACCTGCCCCGTCTCTGTTGCAGATGGGCTCCTTCAATCCATCTTATGACAAGATCTTCAGAAACCTTCAAGATGTAAGATACAAAGGTAAGGGGTCCTTGGATGCATATTCACCCTCTTTTAGAGAAGGAGGTAGTCACTCCCATGTGACCTGAAGAAAAATGAATGCAGGGGGCAGTTTCATATTCTAGGCTCAGTCATAGGCCCAGCAGCACCTCTGCCACGGGGAGAAAGCCTGACACCATTTCTCCACCATGTCTCTCCAGGCCAAGAAGTGCTCATTCCAGGTTTCAGCATTGAAGAGCTGCTTCCTGAGAGGCCTGATGAGTACTATCGCTACAAAGGGTCCCTGACCACACCTCCTTGCCACCCCACCGTGCTCTGGACGGTTTTCCGGAACCCTGTGCAGATTTCCCAGGAGCAGGTAACTGTTGTGCCCTTCTGAGTCAGAGACCACGTGGCACCTCGGTCCCTGCCGTCACCCAGCTCATAATCACCAACTTGGTTTCCTCACTTAGAGTTTCATTGACAGCTAAGCCAAACCTCTTCAAATATCGCAGGTGCCTGGAAGCACGGCAGAAATTACAGGCTGAGCTTCAGAAGTGGAGTTACTGAGTTAAGCTGAGAAAATGAACCTGTCTCCACAGTTCCTTACAAACAAGTTGTTAAGCTGCATTTCCTAGTATTTCCCTCAGGGCCTGGATGGTGTTTCCTCTGTGACGGGAGAGAGCACGGTTCCTTTACAGGGCGGAATAAAGATGGAGCCAGTTAGTGTAACAAACTAGAGGGCTGGGATTGCAGCAGTGAGTAAGCGGCGGTCTCTGCCCTCAAGCAGCTCACGGTCTAGTGCAAAACCGGGGGCACAGAATCCTCAGCAATCATCTCCGACCCTCTCATCTTACAGGTGATGAAAGTGAGGGGTAGACAGATGAGGGAGCTTGTGGGATTGCCCGCTGATTGGCCACAAAGCTAAGCCCCAAAGTCACACTGGAGTTCCTGGTCACTGCCCATCCCTCCGCTCCCCAGAAATTCATCAAGAAGAAAACTGGCTGTCCAGGAGACATGGCCAGGGCAGTGCCACACACGGGCTCCTGGCCCACCCCGCCCCTGGCCCCTCTTCCCGCGTCCAGGAGGGCCCTCACTGTTGCTCCTTCTTTTTACTATGAGCTACCGATCTGAGTAATGTAGATAAATGGCAGCAGGTAGGCGGACAGGAATAAAGTGATGAATCAAGAGATGAAATGTGTGGGGAAGCAGTAATACCCTAACCTAGAAACCACCTTGGAAACCGATTATATAATCTATGTGGGTGTATGAAAATTCTGTGGAACCAGTTGTCAGAGGATCTGTGAAACTCTTGCCTCCTCCTTTTTGTTCCTTTTGATAAGATCATCAGAAGAAGCCTTGGGCCCCTCTAATTTAGAGCTGGGTTCCAAATCGGGCCCAGGAGAGGAATGCCGTGTCCGTGAGAGGCCGAGGAGTCCCTCCACCACCCAGCAGCTAACAGCACTAACTTCCCTCCAAGCCTTGGGAGGAGGGGACAGACCAGCTCACCCGGTGCCCAGTCGACCAGACACCAGCAGGGGAGGGGAGCAGTGTTCTGGCTTTCCCATGGCTTTCTGATGTGCCTCCTGCCATGCCCCAGAGGTCTCTTCCCCAGTGAGGTCAGGCAAGAGAGCATCACTCTGCCCATGGGGTATGTTTCTGCTGCTCCCCTTGCAGCTGCTGGCTTTGGAGACGGCTCTGTACTACACATACGTGGATGACCCATCCCCCAGAGAAATGGTCAACAACTTCCGGCAGGTCCAGGAGTTTGAGGAGAGGCAGGTGTACATCTCTTTCCGGCAAGGTGAGAAGATGCGGTGTTGTGGGGGGAGTATGGTGCCAAGACACCCACTGAATATGAAGTTGGGTGCCCTGCCCTCGGGCTTTGTCACTGATGCCGTTAGGAGGTGGGTTAGGAGCACTCTGGCTGCCCAGGGAACCAGGATGTGTAAGAAGATACTGTGTGTGGGTTTACTGAGGTCACCCTTCACTGCTCTTGACTTCCCTGAGCCTTTGCGGGGAAACACTAACCAGGGCCTCTAGGCGCCTGGACCAGAGCCTTCATTAAATCTGGGAGTCTCCCACAGATGGGAAGAGAGGATGCTCTGGGGGACCTCTCTGCTCTGGAGAACTACCCTTCTCCTAAGACACAGGATAGGACTGTTTTCATGAGATCAAACTCCTAACTTCTTACCCTAGGCTTTCTTGGCATCAAGGCCCATCTTCAGCCTTGCCAGGTGATGCATAGCATCACCAACGTGCAGGGAAGGTGCCTTGTAAGGCTTCAGAGAGTGGGCATAATCCACATTTGTAGCCACAGCAGCTCATGGTCTAATATGGCAGGACCCATCAGGCAAGAAAGCGTCTGCGCTCGCGGCTCTTTTGTTTCATCTCCTTAAGCACGGGCACACAGGAACTGTACTGAACGAAGCGTGAAGTTTGGTTTAGTCTTAAGGCTATGAAAGCTCAGTTCTTCCTTTTAAATCTGTAACCATAACTCCCCAGAAGGACATTGAGCATCTTTATTTGTTCAATACCTATGTTGATACTGTTGGAAGCCAGGGGTTCAGGGAAACAGGTAAGGGAGCCCTCTTGTGGTCCACACCCTTCTTTGAACCTCCGAGGTCACTTTCTCACTGTAGATTCTTGACCCACTCTCGATAAGGGAGTGGCAAGCGGCCAGAAAGAAGCAGGGTAGGTCTGTGAAAGTTCTACTTTATCCCCTTCTATCACTTGTGACTGAACCAGGCCAGGTGATCGTATCCAGAGATGACCCCACTGACCCACTATCCGAGAATCAGCTCTCCTGGTCTCACCTGGTGTACCTTTGTTGTTGTTCCTTTCTTACTGTGTGAGATTAGAACTACCACTGACCAAGCTTAGTTAAACATAGGAGGACTGTATTTCAGGGCCCTTGCCAGCAAGCTTTAGAAACATGCCCTTCTGAACAGACCCATACATATATGGTCAGAATTAAGTTCTTCTGTCACTTACGGAATCAAGAACTGCCCAAGAATTTGTCTTTTGTGCTCTCCTCTCCAGATACCACTGGTTAAGGTAATTTCTCTCTTTTCCTCAGTTTCCTGGTCTGAAAACTCAATCTGTGAACATTGACCCTTCCTAAAAATTGAGAATGTATATGATGATGACTGTCAACTTCTCTTCTAGGAAATGCCTCAAATGTACAGAATTATCCCTTTGTGATCTCTTTTGGATATCAATTTCTCTTTTCCTGTTCTTCAAAATGGAGAGTAGTCAAGGGTTAAATGGAAAATACTTCAACTCTTCAATAAAATTAAAAAAAAAACATAAAAACGCTACCTGGACATTAAAGGACTGGGCCCACATAGATAAGGTTGAATTTTGCTTGTGATTCCAAGATAGTAATCAGATCTCCTCTCTGGGCTGGTCTACACAAGTCACAGGGGATACGGTGATAAATACTCCCTGTATAGTCAGAAGACCTAGGCTGGAGGCCTCAGTTTGTTTCCTCCTGGCTGTCTGATGTAAGCAAATCAATGTCCCTTCTTTGGCCTTGGTTTCTTCAGCCATAAAATATTAGGCTGGGCTAGGTGAGCTAACATGCTTTCAGTGCCAACACGTTATATGATTCTAAGCGGACACTAACGACTGTCCATCCGCACTTTACGTTGCAGGGACAGTGTTTGAGGACAGTTACAGAGGATCAGAAGAAACCATGCAGGAACTTGAGTCTGACATCCAAAAGTAACCTCCACTTGTAACAGTGGACTGTGGCATTGGGAATAATTAGCCATCTTCTTAGACTGGCTCGGCTCTCAGTTGGCACTCATGGAATGGGCAGTGTAGTCAGGCCTGCAGCAGAGCGCTTCACTAGACTCTCCTAGTCTAGCTGGGGAGCTTGAGGGGCCCCTCAGCAGAAGCCTGGAGACTAACTCCAAGCTTAGGACATCAGGATCAAAGCCCAAACGCAGGTTTGCCACTGCCTTTCCTGCACGGTTCACCCAGAACTGCTGTTTCAAGGAGCCCAGGCTGGGCCCAGCTCTCCCCTTGGAGTGAGACACCATGGCAGTCCAAGGCAAACCTGTTCATTTGGAGGGTGATTATAGAAACTTGGCCAGAATTGTCCCCTCCTGCTCACTTCTCAAAGACACAGGCAGCTAACAAGGGCTGTTTCCCAAGGAGCAATGGGGAGGGCAGCCCCAAAGGAGTGAAGCCCCAAATCTCACCCCTCAGGGGCACCTGCATTCATGAGGGCCCTCTCACACCCACTTGGAGGGGCCTCAGACTGTAACATGCCATTTCAGGTTTATGGGGTGAGTCCGTTTGTCAGTGTGAACCTTGAGCAATTTGGACTCTATTTATACACTCTTCCTCTGAGGCATGCTTGTAATTAGGGTCTGATTGATTCAGGGTCTTCTCTGGAAGTTAACAGGAACTATGGAGTTGGAATATTTTTCCAGGAGAAAAGTAATGTAAAGGAAATCCTCCAGGAGAGAAAGGGCAAGGACTTTGAGATTAGGCTCTGAGGTTTAGCCAAATTGGAACACCTGAGACTGAATCATTTAGCTTGACCATGCTTTTTCTCAACTATGCTTAGAAAAGGAATGAAGAACTTGGTTTCTGTCCTTAAGAGGTAGTAGTCTGTCCTGTAGCCCTCAAAAAGAATGAAATCTTGACATTTGCAACGATGTGGATGAAGCTCGAGAGTATTTTGCTAAGAGAAATAAGTCTGTCAGAGAAAGACAAATACCATATGATTTCACTCATATGTGGAATTTAAGAAACAAAACAGATGAACATAGGAAGGAAAAATAAAATAAAAACAGAGAAGGACGCAAACCGTAAGAGACTCTTAACTCTAGGAAATAAACTGAGTGTTGCTGCAGAGGAGGTGGGTGGGTGATGGGGTAATTAGATGATGCATTAAGGAGGGCACCTGATGTAATGAGCACTGGGTGTTATATGCAGCTGATGAATCACTAGATTCTACCCCCGAAACTAACAATATACTATATGTTAACTAAATTGAATTTAAACAAAAAAATTTTAAAAATAATAAATAGGGGCGCCTGGGTGGCTCAGTCAGTTAAGCGTCTGCCTTCGGCTCGGGTCATGATCCCAGGGTCCTGGGATCGAGCCCCACAGCGGGCTCCCTGCTCAGCGGGGAGCCTGCTTCTCCCTCTCCCACTCCCCCTGCTTGTGTTCCCGCTCTCGCTGTGTCTCTCTCTGTCAAATAAATAAATAAAATATTAAAAATAAATAAATAAAATAAAAAATAATAAAATGCTGGGGAAAAAAAAAAAAGAAGTACAGACTTAAGTAGTCTGTACTAACTGCGATTTAGCCCTAGCTCAGGGTTTCTCAGCCTTGGTGCTACTGACATTCTGGGCTGGATTATTCTCACTGGGGGGCTGTCCTGTACATTGTAGAATTAGCAGCATCCCTAGCCTCTCCCCACTAGATGCCCGTAACATCCGCCCAATTCTGACTGCCAAAAATGTCTCCAGACATTGTCAAGTGTCTCCAGGGCAGGAGAGGCGAAATTGAGAACGACTGCCCAGGGATTACACAAACACTTTCCTAGGCTCAGACTGATTTTTTTTTTTTTTTTTCCACTCAGAGGACTTTGGAGTTTTCTGTCAAATGCCCTGGTCTTTATTCTGTTACAGCATGACATTTTCTTTTTTTTTATTGCCTTTTAAAAAATTTTTTATTTACTTATTTGAGAGAGAGAGAAAGGGAGGAAAGAGCACAGCTGGGGCGGGGGGAGCAGAGGGAGAGAGACAAGCAGACTCTGCACTGAGCGCGGAGCCCGACATGGGGCTCGATCCTACGACCCAGAGATGAGGATCTGAACCAAAATCAAGAGTAGGACGCTCAACCGACTGAGCAACGCCGGTGCCTCTACAGCGTGACATTTTCAGTCTGGTGATGGTTACCCCGAAACCAAAAAGTTGTTGGATTATTAAGGCAGAGCAACCAAACTCAAGAGAAACCCTGTTCCCCATCTTCCTTTAGAATTTGAATACACCTTCTTTTTATATAACTGGGTACATCCAAGGCTAAGAGAAGCGGATGAGAGAGAACTATCTACCCTCAGGAGAACTATACAAACCACTTTATCAAGGGTCCAGATGCTTCTGAGGCAGCAACTTGCCTCAGAATCTCCTTATCATTTTTCTCCCTTGCTTTTGTACCATTTTTTTTTTTCTCACGTGGGTTGTTTCTTGTTGCCTTTGGCTAAAATGCCCACTCTTTGTGGAGAGGCGAAACTCACGTGAGGCACCTTTTTTTTAGCTCTTAGAAAGTGCCTCTTCCAAGGGGCACAAATAGAAGACTTGAGCTAACGAGAGGACACAAAACTCATTGTCCTCAAGGAGGGATCCCAGAGAGGGGAACACACCCTGTGAGCAGACCAGGCCTCACAAAAGTCAGATCCCTCTGGGAGGAAGGAGAAAGATGGCAGAGGCAGATTTACAGACCAGGGGCCTGATTCTTGGTTCCTTCAAGTTGACCTCTTCCTAGCTAAACATACCAGCCCTGGGTCCTGATGGTGACGGGTCGTAAAGGAAGAGCCTATCAAACTGAAATGCTAATGTTACCTAGCCCTATTTTTAATATGCCAGGGCAAGGGAAACCTGAGGGACAAGGGGGAGCCAGAGAGTTTCTATAATCATGTCTGTAGTGGGCTTGCTCGGAGCAACTGCATGTCACCACCGCAGAGCCTGGAGCCAGCCGAGGCACACTTAGGAGTGCGGGACAGCAGACGGGGGGTGGGGGGGCGGCTTTCACCCACGGTACATCTGTGGAGTAGCACAATTAGAATCTGCTTGACTCTGCGGGACCTGGGTAGTTTTATAAAACCTTTAAAAAGGAGAAAAGAAATCTTACAAAGCTAAGATGGCTAATTATCTACTTTCTGAGACTAGAATGTATACTTCGTGGTTACTGACCTTGTGTTTCTAAAAGTTCTTATTTTTAAATAAAATCTATTAGATGGAAAGTATCATCAAGTCTACCAAGGTATCGAAATGAAAGACCGGAGGAGTTCCCACCTTCAAATTCCCCTGGATATGGGCGTGGGGTGGGGGCTGAATAGTCGGGAGCAATTATCAAATGTGCTAAGAAGTCCCTAGTCCCTTCATCGAGTGCAATGTAATGGGCCATGTGTTTCCAGAGCACACCCCAAGTCAGGCACTATGGGGAACAGAAAACCCCAGTGTGGATGCTCTCTGGCTTCTAAGAGCAAGCCTCTGGCACAGAGCAGACCAGGGGGGCAGTCAGCAAGCTGGACGCCCCCCCTTGGTGAGGTGGCCCCAGCTGTCTTCCCAGCACTCTGCACCCCCCCCCCCCCCACCCCGGCATTCATCCACACCATGTAGGGCCTCCCTTAGCACGGTACTGCTTTCACCCGTGCACACGCGATTCCCTGCGCCTGG